AAGATAAAAACTATGAAGTCGCCGGGCACGGTGGCTCACGCCTGTCATCCCAGCACTTTGGGAGGCCGAGGCGGGTGGATCACGAGGTCAAGAGATCAAGACCATCCTGCTCAACATGGTGAAACCCGTCTCTACTAAAAATACAAAAAGTTAGCTGGGCATGGTGGTGCGTGCCCATAATCCCAGCTACTCAGGAGGCTGAGACAGGAGAATTGCCTGAACCCAGGAGGCGGAGGTTGCAGTGAGCCGAGATCGTGCCATTGCACTCCAGCCTGGGTAACAAGAGCGAAACTCCGTCTCAAAAAAAAAAAAAAAAAAACAAAGACCACCTTGACCACGGCATTTCATGGAGCAGTGGAACAAGAGTGAATTTCAAAACAAAATGTGATGCTTAGAATCGAAACCTGTGAGCACACAACTCATGTGAGCTTTGCCATAAAGAGCAAAGGAATGGGTGGTAAGCTGGAAGGGATATGGGGCAAAGGCAGATTCCTTCCCCTGTCTCTTTCTGGGAAAATTATAGCTTCTCTTTATGCTGATGTAAAGGATCCAGTTGGGGAAAAATTGGATCATGACAGACAGAGAGATAGGCAGAAACAGACAGAAAGGGAAAGAGAGAGACAGAGAGAGAACTGCTAGATCGTGTCCTTGAATCAGTGGTAAGAAGAATCCAGGGCACAAGGGGAGGGCTGCCATTAGCCAGGCGCACAGACAATTCAGCCACAGCATCAAGGGAAATGGCAGCAGATGTGAGGGGAGGTGCAGGAAGGTGGGTTGGCATGAAGGAAAAAGCTTGTGAAAATTCTCTTATGACTGCTTCTATTTTCTTAAGAAAATAGAAAACAAGGTCACCAGTGGAGAGTAAGGATGGTGAAGAGCTGAGAAAAGAAGGCAGAACAAAGTGATCCGGGAGAATGTAAAGTTAATTGAGGATACTGGTCACATATGTAAAGGAAGGCCAGGCGGGAGGGTCAGTCAGCCCCCCAGGAGTGAGAGCACAGAACAGGGAAAGGTAAGCGGAATGAATGCTCAGGTTTCGCTGGATCCAGTACGATACAGTGAGACCACAAAAGGGAGCTAAGAGTGTTTGCAGGAGACTGATTCCAACAACAGCCCAGGAATGTGAACTGTGCAAGGAAGTCGGGGGATGGGGAAATGACGGGGTGAGAAAAGGTGTTAGGGTCAGGGCATGTTAAATCTCCACACTGAGTAACTGTCGGAACTGGGAGTACTAGAAGAAGTGATGTGGAAAAAGAAGTGGTAGGTGGAGTAGGATGCTTGACCATAAGATTATGCAAAAGAACTCAAGTGGGTTATGTCACAGGCATGAGCGGGTGAGGCAGGCTACCACAGGGCCAGGCAAGGAGTGTCCCAGAGTGATGGGAAAGACAAGCGCACAGACGCCAAGTCACCATGAAAAAGGTACAGAATCGGAGAAGGATTAGAAACAAGGAGCAAAAATCCTCTAGAGGGAAGCAGAAAAGGCCTGGGAGGTGAGTGAACGACAGGAATTGGTGATGCTCTGATGACATGAGATCCAACGTGCTGGAGGGCAGTAAAAGGGAACGGGAGGGTACCTACTCCAGCTCCAGGACCAGGAAATGAGGGATGTGGGGAGAAGTGAGCCCTCCCATGAGCGGGTGGCAGGAATGCATGCCAAGTTTCTTTGAGTAAGAAAATAGCAGTTGAAGATACAAGGGTTTTGTTTGTGAGTTAACTCTCAGTTCCAAATGGCACAAGCAGCAAGTTTCAGGAGCTGGAGGAAAGTGGAAAATGAGGTCAGAAATGGGATGTATGGAGACACGGGGGCAGTCCAGGGTGCAGGGAACCTGGTTGTTCTGGGCTCCACGTGCTGACCATGATAAAGAGCAGTGGTGAACAAAATGTACGCATGAGTTCTGAGGGTCCCAAAGCAGAGGGCAGCGGGGAGGCTGTGTGCTTCAGGGTAGGAAGGGGAAGGCCACCTGCCGGGATCACAGTGAGTTCTGTGGACATATCTCTGCTCCTGCCATGACAACAGGGATGTGAGGGAGGCGCTGTCTTAGCCAAATGGCAGGTGCTCTGGCACTCCCCCCGTCTCAGGAACACAGAACTCCTTCCTCTCTATACCTTTTTTTCAAGTACTTAAGTATTAGATAAAAATCTATAAATTCTTGCCCTTTTTTCTTCTTCTTCAGTCACCTAGTCTATGATCTTGAGACTCAGAGTCTTAATTCATCTGCACAATATCTGGTGCTTAATTAAGACGTGCAATAAGCAAAAAAGGAAAGGAGAAAAGGTAGGGAGCAGCTGATAACAGGATGGCTTATTCAGGATACCAATTAACAGTATCACAGCACACAGTTTTGCTTTACTTTCTTAACATTCCATGAAACAATAGTAATACTAACAGGAACAAAACCTCCCAATAGCTTTACACCCATAGCACCATCAAGTGTCAAACAACTGAGAAGTCAGTCAGGCATTCCAACACAAAGCTGTATTGATTATTTTTAAAGCCAGGCATGAAAATTCAATTCCAGTAATATCATAACTACCATAATAACTCACGTTACTTTTTAAAAAGTGTTATTTCTACAGTGAAGCACTTCCTTGGTGCTGGCTGTCATGTTTTTTTGCATAACTGCACAACTGAGCTCAGAGTAAGTCACACTGACAACCCAAAGATTCCTGCGACGTGCACCACACGTTCCAACACACACTAAGAAAATGCCACTGGGAACTCTGATGAATCAGCAATGGAATCTGTATTTTTTAAAAAGTCTTTTACCCTCATTATTCTGGAATTCTTTTTAATAGCAAGAGTAAAACAATAAAAACTTTACTTTTGTTTTATAATTTAAAATAGAAAGTTAATAGTTCTAAACACAGAACTGCAGGAGTTCTGTGTTCCTGAGACAGGAACACACTAGTCTTAATACTAGATTAAATAAAAGCAGGGGATGATTTCTCTTACTAACCTCCTATTTCTATTTTCTTAAGAACTGGTAAGTCATGAATTTTTTTTTTTTAGTTTTGCTTTCCTACACATATTTATAAACATCCTCTACTGAAGCTCACAATTCTTAACCTGTATTAGTCAAAATGTCCATTTTGCCATAGAACCATTTATGTTATAAACATAAATCATTTAGCTCTTTATTTTCCACCTGAAATAGTACACAGTGACTAACCAGTAGCAAGCAGCAAAATCATAATTATCGTATCATATCACTTAAGAGTTTCTTCGAGCACCATGCCGGGTGCCAGGCCAGGCACAGTGGATCACACCTATAATCCCAGCATTTTGGGAGGCTGAGGCGGGTGGATCATCAGGTCAGGAGTTCAAGACCAGCCTGGCCAATATGGTGAAAACCTGTTTCTACTGGAAAAAAATACAAAAAATAGCCTGGCATGGTGGCACACACCTATAGTCCCAGCTACTTGGGAGGCTGAGGCAGAAGAATCACTTGAACCCAGGAGGCAGACATTGTAGTGAGACAAGATTGTGCCACTACACTCCAGTCTGAGTGACAGAGTAAGACTCCATCTCAAAAAAAAAAAAAAAAAAAAAAAAAAAAAAAAAAGAGTTTCATTGAAAAGATTTTAGACAATCTACCAACAGATCATAAATCGTGCATGGCCTATCCAAATGATGTGCAAAAAGTTACATTTTGCATTAGTTATCATATCATCCTCCATCCTCTCCAGGTTCAATCCATCTCTTTTCTATGCTAGTGAGGTGTTTTTACTGATTTGGGCTTGGCTTCATTTTCTAACATAATTAGCAATCTAGCAAGGGTTTCCTTTTCAATTTCTTTATATATAATCAGCCACTTTTAAATTTGAGGAGCCAAAGGATTTAGAAAGATTCTAGAAAGACTTTTTTTAGTTTTCCTACTGTAGAAGGGCAAAGTGAGAAAAGCTGTATTTTGGGGTTTTCTTTTGTTTTGATTAAAGTGAATTCAAATTCTTCAATTCATGGGGCACTACATTTTACCCTTCCTGGATGTGAAATATAATTCACATATAATTAGGAGACTCACGTCTCCTAATCAGTCAAACAGAAATGGCATATACCTGAGGCTGAAACATTTCCACACTGCAGGCCACACAGCCTGACAAGTATTCTTTATAATTCAGGCATGTTTATTGCACAGCAGCATGATTATCCAAATAAGACGAATTTATTATAATATTTACTGCCTTAAGGGAACTTTATAAAGCTGACATTGTTGACTCAAGTTTACAACCCTGAAATCAAATAAGTTTAAACATTAAATTAAGTTAGAAGAATAAAATACATATGTAGTTCCAGTCTAAAAGTTTATCTGTATCAAACCATATAATGTTACTGACACAAGTCCTCTAGAACAGACACAAACCTAAATTCTGGGATCTAAGAGAAGAGCTCTAAAATATTATCAACACTTCTGGGTTGATGATTTAAATTCACTATTTATAATTGAAGAAGGTAGGTATCTTTCTACCCATTTCTCAGTATTTCATAAACTAACCCCCCATTTTATATCTTCTCTTGATTATAATTCTGAAATGCAGTTAGCTATCATCTGATCTTGGCGGGAGACCGGTTTTTCAACATTTGAATATTACTTAAGTAAAATTAAGGAAAATTTACCTACACTATGTCTTTTCTCCGTTAAACTATAGCATTGCCCTTTTCTTCACTGCTTCTTCAGAACCAATCAGTAATTAAAAATTAAACTTTAAAGTCATATGCTGAAAACATAAATGCAGTTGGCAGTAGAGAGACACCAAGGCCCTCAGTGGCCAAGGTCTGAGAATGAATGGGCCTTCCTAGGTCACAGCTCATCTCAGCCAGGGCCTTCAATAAACCTCTCTTCACCGAAGAAGTTCTTTTGTTACTCTAAAGTGTCCTCCTCTTGTAACAAACAGCACAAGACACTGAGAGGTTTATTTTTTTCCCTTCAATTATCTATCTTTTGGAAATTAACAAGTTTTTTTTTTAATCCCAGTCTAAATATGTAGTATATACATACCATTTAGTCGTCTCTGGAGTGCTTCTTCCTCTAAGGTAATAATATAAATTTGTTCATCCAGGTCTTCAAGAATCTAAATTAAAAGATAAAACTACTCAATAATTCAACATTACAAAACAAATGCTTATAAGACCATTTAGGCTATTTGGTCTATTTATTTCATTCAGATAATGTATTCATTCAAATTTCTAAGAAGCCAAAATAAAAAAGCTACAACTATTTTACTTACAAATTAAGTATAAATACTTAAGTATATAGCCAAACACATCAGAAATTACCACAAACCCTATATACATTTAAATTAGGTATTTTTGAAGTTTAAAGGATTAAGCTAAGGAACTCTATTTTCTCAACAGCAAAAAAAAAAAATGTATGAATTTTAGGGTTTTTTTAGCAGCATTCTGAGATACAGGCTACATGTATGAATTTTTTTTTTTTTTTTTTTTTTTTTTTTTTTTTTTTTTTGAGACAGAGTCTCACTCTGTTGCCCAGGCTGGAATGCAGGGGTGCAATAATCTCAGCTCACTGCAACTTCCACCGCCTGAGTTCAAGCCATCCTCCTGCCTCACCCTGTGTAGCAGCTGGGACTACAGACACGCATCACCATGCCTGGCTAATTTTCATATTTTTAGTAGAGATGGGGTTTCACCATGTTGACCAGGCTGGTCTCAAACTCCTGACCTCAGGTGATCCACCCGCCTCAGCCTCCCAAAGTGCTGGGATTAGAGGTGTGAGCCACCATGCCCAGCCATGTATAATTTTAAATAGCCAAAAAGCTAACTACAGTAAATAGGTCATTAGGCCCAAGCCAACATTTTAGAGATAGAAGGAACAGAAACGCAGTCTAACATTCGTTTCCTCATTTATATTTACCTAAATAATGTCTAAAACAAGAAATCCATAAACTACATCAGTAACATGCAATACTTTCCATTTATATCATCTTTATATACTAAAAACGCTCCACAAATACTGAAGATTGGTATTATCAAAGTCATCCAATAGACAGAAATCTAGAGAAGTAGTATGTTTACATATAAACCAAGTCATACAACAGTAGTTAAAAAAACAGCATACTAATCATTTACCAATTGTATGGGATGTTGTGTGCACTGTTAAAAAACCTAAAATTGATTTAACGCTAGTTTTGTTAATATAGCTATCCTTCTATGAGAGGATCCTTACTACCTTCTTCCTAGCTGTAGGGGAAATCTGAAAGAAATCTAGAGCTGATATTAATGTTCCATATCATTCACATCCAAACTACTTATACTCAGCAAAAAAATAAATTGTGAGGAGCTAATGGACAAAAAGATGGAAACCATATATACATCTTCTTTCAGATTTTAAAGAATTTTCAGAAAGAAGATTTTCAAAAAATGCATTCCCTATCAGATGTCAAATTTATACAGCTTCTGTGAAATTGATTTAAAGTAATCCAATAATTGCCAGCTTCTCAACAAATCGTTAGGGTCCCCTATGGTCTCGCCCTGAACTCATCATGGGTACCCACGCCAACTCTATCCTTGAGAAGCCTGACTTGGGAGGTGAGAACAAATAAATACGAAAATAAAAATAAATAAGAAATAAACATACAAATAAATAATGACAAAGAATGACCATTCTACGAGGAAGAAAGGAAGAGGAAGAAAAGGGGCAGGGACAGCTAAGCAGCCAGCCGGCCCGCCCTCTCCAAGGAGGGGACACTTAGGCCAAAATGAGTGGCACGTGCTGGAATGTGTGCTGCTCCCAAGGAGAAAGAGTGGTACAGGCAGAGGATCTACTGGACGCAGTGGGTCGGGGGAGAGGAATCCCAGACAGAACGCATATGTCTGGGACCAGCTCCTTGGGGGCCATGATCCGAAGTTCCTTTCCCTTCAACACTTCTCTTCACTTTCTAAATTTGGATCAGAATTGACAGTTTTTACTTAAGGTCTCACGCATACAAAAGAATTTTTATCTTTCTCCTGCAAATTGTCCAAGAAAAACTTATCATTACAGGTATGTCTTAGTGTGAGTGAGTGACTGACGTAGTTTAGATATTTGTCCCTTCCAAACCTCATGCTGAAACTGATCCCCAACACTGGAAGTGAGACCCGGAGGGTCTCATGGGGTGGATCTCTCGTGAATAATCAGTTTGGTGCTGTCCACACAGTAATAACTAAGTTCCTGCTATATTTGTTCACGAGAGTAAGTTGTCTAAAAGATGGTGCAACTCTCTCTTTCCTCCTCCCCTCTCTCTCGCCATGTGATACAACTGCTCCTCGTGCACCTCTCGCCACAATTAGAAGCCTCCTGAAGCACTAGCTAGAGCAGATCCCAGTGCCATGCTTCTTGTACAGCCTGCAGAACCATAAGCCAAATAAACCTCTTTTCTTCATAAATTACTCAGCCTCAGGTTTACAGCAATGCAAAATAGAGTAATGCAGTGACAATGTGAATGACACACATATATTTGTGTTAAGTGCTTACGAGCACCATCCTCCTTGATTTCTACAACAATCCTATGAAAAACAGACTGTTCAAATCCCCATTTTATATTCTAAGAAACAGGGTTACCAAAGAAATGTGTGTGCCTTCAAAGCCTATACTCAACTGCTATGAGCTAACGGGGGCTTAAATATGAGTAAGACATAGTCCTTGACCTCAAACAGCTTATATTCTAGTGTGGCAGAAGAGATCAGTTGAATTTAAAAAATGGAGAATTTGTTAAAGTCATAATGGTGGCTGAAATAAAATGTTACAAAAGTTCAGAGAAAGAAAAATGATTCCCAGATGGGGAAAAAAAAGTTTTGGCCAGTGTTTTTGATGGTAGTAGCATTTTATCTGACATCTTAAATTACCAAAAGAAAGAAAGGCATTTCAATCAGAGGAAACTGTAAGCAAAACACAGAAGTGGAGGGGTACAAAGTCCACTCTGCAAGAAAGCAGTTTTACAGCTCTGGAGCTTACAGCAGAATAGAACAGCAGACCAGAGTGTGAGCTCTGAAATCAGCCCCTTGGGTTCAAACTCTGCCCCATCTCATAGATCTCTGATCTTGTACAAGCTACTTACTCTTCCTGAAATGACATTAGTTTAGCCATAAAATAAGAATACCACTATCTAATTTACATGTTTGTCATCAGGATAAAATGAAATTATGTGTGTAAAATATAGTATTTATTGCTAGCATATATAATACACTCCATTACTCAATAAATAATCTTTATTATTGAATGTTACCAACAAGAAAAGCAATGATACAACTTTGAGAACATTGTTAATAAGAGGCAGGATAAGTAGAAAAACTAGCTTGGGGAAGAGAGCTAAATAAGTAGTTTGGTTTTATACATGTTGAGTTTTCAGCTCCATGGGTTATTCAATTATAGCACTTAAAATGCATTGTAATTTCTTTCCATTGTCTTTTCCTCATTAGAATTAGGCATTTAAAAGTGATGCAGAAATGGCAGAGATGGTTAGGAGCAGAGCATTAACAGAACTTTAGACCAATGACAGAACTTCAAACATTTGCGTATAGTTAGGAGTCGGGAAGCAGAAAAGGATAAAGAGGACCCAAAAGCAACAACAAACAAGAAACTAAATGAATACAGTGTCACAGAACCTCTTTACAAAGGAAAGGAATTCCAAGACCTGACAGCATGTGTGTGGTACACAAGTGTGTATACAATTTTTATATACTTTTTGTAAAATGTATTTATGTGTGTATGTGTGTGTGGGGTGTGTGTGTGTGTGTGTGTGTGTGTGTGTGTGTGTGATGGAGTCTTGCTCTGTCCAGGCTGGAGTACAGTGGTGCCATCTTGGCTCACTGCAACCTCCACCTCCCAGGTTCAAGTGATTTAATAAGTATTACTAGTGAGACAGATGCAAAGAAAGGAGTTTAATTATTTTTCCTTGAAGAAGCAAGGCAAGGTTCAAAGACACATAGACAGTGGAGCTGATACTTGAGCTAGGTCTCAGGAGGCTGCTAGGTGGCTAGAGCAGGTAAGAGGCCTTGGAGGGAAAGACACACTCCTGGAGACAGATTGCATAGAGCCTATTTAGAGCACAGCACGTTCACTCCTGAGTTAGAGTGAGAGTAAACAGAGGGACAGCTACAGGAAAAGTTAGTGTGGACCAGGCTGTGAAAGGCTTTGTAACAGGTAAGTAGTTTAGACTTGAGTTCATAGGCAATGAGCATCCATGAAAACAAGTTACAAATTTCCTAGGTGCAGCTGATAAATTATTTTTATATAATTAAATATCTGACAAAATAGAGACCAAAGAAAGTGACAGATCATTAGAATTATAACCAACTGAAAATTACTTAAAAACTAATAAACAGTGTTTCTGAGATTCAAGGCAATGTATGGTTCAATCAATCGTGACATAATATACAGACAAATTTTCAGAAATATAACCATTTTGTAAATCAAAGCATACTAAATTTTGAAACATAATAGAGGCACTTTTTGATATTAGGCAATGGATACCTAAAATACCTGTAAATATTTGTAAATTTTGTACTAAAATTTGATAGAGGACTTTTTAACCTGTGCGCCTATAGTTAGTATTTTAAAAGCAAAACCAAATTTGGTTTCCAAAGACTGAAAATTTAACCTAAGTTCTATTTTAAAAAATTATGAAACAAAATTTGATGGATAAATGTACAAAAAATATTTTTCTATTTCTAAATGCTAGCTCACAATCTAAAAAATGCTCAAATGTAAACAGATTTATTTAATAAACAAAATGATATATAATTAAATACTTACTGTTGGCTTCACTAGCAACTGACCCATCACTGTGAACATACGGGAAAGGCCAACTGGTGTACATACTGCAGAAATAAGATCACCAAAAGACAGAAAGCCACATTAGAGAGCTTGGAGAGACAAACCACCAGGCTGTAAAAATAAGACAAACTCAAAGATCATTTTAAGAACATTCTTCTCTCCAGTTGAGACTCTCGGTGTTTTGTCAGAGGACTGTTCACCTTTGTCAATACAGAAGCTAGAGGGGTATGTGAGGAGGACAGGCGTAGTTAGTTCTGAAAGATGTGTGACGACAAAGGCTTAGAATAATATTCAAGATTCTAGCAGTTGAAGAATACTTTTGCTTAAATAAATTAAAGACAAATGAGCAAAGAATCGGTTAAACATCAAGTATTAATCGAATTGAGAAACAAACAAGAATATCTAAAGGGTGACAACCACAGTCTTAAGTCCTCTAAAATATATTTATCTATTTATAATACCCCTGAGATAGGCTGTGACGCTTCAAGTCAAAGAAAAAAAACCTTCAAAAAACCACTAACTTATCGTACATAATTCTACCATTTCCATTAAAAAGCAGAATCTAGCATTGTGACGGGTGTCGGGGTGAGGGTAGGGCATATGTGTGTGAGTGTGTGTATAGTTTGTGTGTCAGTGTATATAACTGTGTGAGAGTGTGTGAGTGAGAGTGTGCGTGTGTCTGTCCGTCCATCTCTCTCTACAACCCGGTAGAAGAGGCTTTCCTTAGGGAACAATAGAAGCACCTTATTATTTCAGAGTTCCCATTTATCAAAATTTATTTTGAATAAAAATAGTTAAGGCAAACTCAAAAAAATCTCCAAATAGTTAAAATATCTCATCGGAAAACTTCCCTGCAATTTTCCAGAATACAGGATAACTGTACTTTTCTATCAATATTAAGTCTGAAAAATACTTACAGAGAAGTAACAAACATCCCATCAATGATATACAGGAATATAAATAGGGTAGATAGAACTCCCAGAGATCTATTTAAAAAAAGTAAATATATTTTAATAAATCCAAAATATTGCACGTTAAGATACAGTCAGTCAATTTTACGATAAGATAGAGGCTGACTTACACCTCATGTAAACATTGTAATTGCCTGCTTGAGTTTATTAAACCATATAATGACTAAATTATACAATAAAAAGATCTAAAATAGAAAACCAAGAAGTAAGCCTTTAGCAAAACCTGTTTGGAGGGAGAAAAAAAGTTGCTACGGAATTTGAAAAACAAAAACCAATTAACGACAACAAAATCTGAAAAGCTACTTACTCGTTCTTCGCATACAAAAGAAATAAAACTTCATTCTTAAAGATAGCTAAAGATTTCTTAATTCTGTAAATTAACGTCAAACATCTTTGTTAACCATACGCAGAATTATTTAAATATTTTTAAAACTGAATGTGTCCTTATATCCTGAACTGTAGTTTCCACTGAAGAAGCTGGTGAGAACAAGGACGTCCGTACCGTATAAAGATTCCATGCTTGCTGCGTCATTGTCAATGAGCGCTGAAGCCACCCACACTATCCCAAAAATGAGTAATGCAAGAAGCAGCAGCATGACCAGAGTCTCTAAAATGCGGGCTCGGATTCCCTGAAAAATACAGCAGAAATACAATTTTAGTATTTCACATCATTTCATGAACAATAAGGTTTCTGCCTATATGAAAGCATAAAATAATTCCTTGGAAGGAGAGGAAATTTATATTAACAGGAAAAAAACACTAAGTACTTATGGTTTAGAGTGTTTAGACTGACTTTTCAAAATTATGAAAAATATTATTAAGCTTGGATAAAATACAAAAAAAAAATTCTTCATAAAAAACATCTGCAGAACCATTTTAAACAATTAATTACTTTCCTAACACTTTCCACTAACAAAGCAGATTAATGAATTTCTATCCGTGATTCTAATCAAGGGAATAGAAGGCTAATTATGGCACACAGCCAAGGAGTTCACTGAGCACTGAACTGGGGGCACACAATGCTCCGAGCTGTGCAGAGTGCCCGCTCTCCCCAGCACGGACTCCGGCGCTCCTCACAGCCTCCGGAGCCCTCTACTGTGCCGCTGGAGAACTGTCCACTGTAATCCCACATTATAAACTGTAGAGATACTGCTTTTACCAATTGTATATGATGCTTTTCTTCACATTATACAGAACTTTAAGTAATCCATGAGGATAGAATATAATAATATAATCATTATGCACAATTTTGTTTTAAATGTAAAACAAATTCTGAACTCAGGACCAAAGTAAAGGCTAGACTTTTAAAACTTAAAAACTGCAGGACAAGACAAAAAAAGAAACCTCTTTTTACTCCCCGAAAAGCACCAAATAATTGAATCTGCAACCATAAGTTAAAGATTCATACTGATTTTTTTTTTACTGCAATGAACTAACCTACAATTATCTAATACAACCAACAAAATTATAAATACATCCATATTTCTCAATAAATCATGTAATCTCATTCCACATTTTAAATAGTTTGAAGATACGAGTTATAAAATTCCAAAACATACATTTATTTCAATATTCTCCTAAGTATTCTAATTTATGAATTACAGGAATAGGTTACACTAAAATCACAGCACCCAATTCTTCAAATTCAATAGAAAGAAGAGGAAATGTCCTAAAACCATGGAAAAGTATACCTAGCCCTAAATGATGACCTCTGAGGTGAAGTGGCTTTTTCTTACCAGTCCTTCAACAATATCGCAAACTTACCACACGGCTGCACTTGGCAGGTTTAAAACACTTCCTCAAATCTGAGAGTCAGCTCACCTTAAGTGTTCATAGCATGGGAGGCCAGTGAGCCAGAATGAATTAGGCTTGTATTTTAACATATGAGGTCTCATAGTAAGTAGCTATTAATCACAGGAAATGAAATATGAATAGTCACAAAACTCACTACAACAAAACACACACTACTACTTTACTGAAGAGTCCTTTGAACTTCCACTTCACAACTTACAAACTATTTAAGATACTGATATGGTTTGCCTGTGTCCCTACCCAAATCTCATCTTCAATTGTAATCCCCATAATCCCCATGTGTCATGGGAAGGACCCAGGGGAGGTACCTGAATCATGGGGGCAGTTTCCCCCATGCTGTTCTCATGATAGTAAGTGAGTTCTCACAAGATCTGACGGTTTTATAAGTGTCTGGTATGTTCCCTGCTGGCACTCATTCTCTTGCCACCTTGTGGAGAGATGCCTTCTGCCATGATTCTAAGTCCCCTGAGGCCTCCCCAGCCATGCCGAACTATAAGTGAATTAAACCTCTTTTCTTTATAAATTACCCAGTCTCAGGTATTTCTTCATAGCAGCGTGAGACAGATAACAGACTAATACAGATATCAAAACATTATTCACCACCTTTAACAATGATTTCTCTCTTTTCTTCCTCCTTCCCTTCTTTTCTCTCTAAGCATTAATGCTTTTTATTACACATTAAATATTTTGTGGAAACCCTATCAATAAACAGACAAAAGGAGATGAAATTATATCGTGCATGTTTATGCAGATTGGCTCTCGTATTTGTGTTATACTCTCTCAATTCTGTCTTTCCCTGCCTCCAACCAGCCCCTAAGAAATACATGAACTAAAGAGTAGGGCTCCCAAAACAAATAACACATGCATTATACCTCTTACGTCAACTAAACAGTGGAGCAGTGTCAGAAGTGTTACATATATGAACTACACAGTGGTGGCTCCTTGGAACCATTTAAAACCTACTGTCCAAAAGAAGTTTTCGTTATGTTAAATAATTACAACACTATAACAATAAGTACAACATAATTTTTATGATGATAATAAATGTTGGGAAACCACAAATCACCATAAAATTTATAGGCTTCTTCTGGTATTTTGGTAAGAACTATTTCTTAGCAATTAAACTTGTTTTCTTCAGATCCGTGCCTATGTGCTGGGAGGCAATGCTCCATGGGTCTCACATTTCTATGCATCTCACAAGCAGAGGCAGGGACAGACCTTACTCAGAACAGTCTTCTTAAGGTTTGTACAGCAGACAGCCTTGGGATTTAGAGATAGTGTATCTCTGAAGCAAAGGACAGGTTTGTTTACTGTCTAGCAGCACAATGTTCACTTCCAAGCAAAGGTTAGACAGAGTTGCTTGCAGCCCAATATAACTACTATGGGTTCCCTAGCTGTGATACAGAACCATTGTGGGGCTTGGGGTCTAGGGGAAGGGACACCAAAAGGAAGCTGTGCACTTGGTTACATGCTGTGCATAACCAAGTCCTTTGCCTCCACCCCAGACATCTCATGTTTACAACCAGCATCCATGAAACTGGGAGATTAAGTTGTTAGTTTGCAAGCAGGATAAAATCTCAGACCCTTCACAGTTCTTGACAGGTTTTGGTGACAAGGATAGAAGGCTAACAGACGGCTTTCTGGAAACGAAAGAGGGGCCCTGCAGATTGACTTCAGGGATATGCGAAGACTCCGGGATCTATTAATAGCAGTGAGTGTGCTCGTCCATGTGGTAGGCAAGCAGGAGGAGCAGAGACCCCAAGCAGTCCTAGCTGCTGGCGACAGTCTGCAGGCCGAGGTAGGTAGTGAGGCTGAACCCACTGCTGGCTAGGTTGTCACTCCCTCTCCTCTGAGCGGAAGCAGGAAGGAATGTTATCATGACGGTGGAACAGCGAGCCTGCAACACCAGCTCAAAGGTCCTGTGGGTACAGCTGCTCTATTAAGGAGTCCCAAAGCTGAATAAACAGTGTCAGGAATGAGGCTATAGACCTATGCATGAACTGATGTCATTACAAATTTGGCTGAGCCATACGCAGCCACTAGCTGCTCAAAATGAAAGGCCAAGGCCTTGCTCAATGGTATGGGCCAGTCACTTTTCCCATTGCCCCTTCATCTGTCCTCCCCCAGCTCTGACCTCAGATGCTTAGGAAAAAAGATGACTGGGGTAAAGTAGGGGTCTCCCTGTCCTTCAGGGGAATAAAAACCGTATAGACCCACCTGAGCATGCAGGGGACCTTCAGGAAGGAGAGGGACTCAAACTCATGGCTCTGCTGAGTACAGAAGCCCACATCACCATCCTACTTGGTCCTTCACAGAGGACTGTGAGGTGGCCGCACAGAACTGTTGGTGAACAATGACCTTTTTTTTAAATAAAGATAAATATGAATAATTTTATATATATATATATATATATATATATATATATACACACACACACAGTTATAAACTAAAATGCAATGCCAAAAACATTTTTGAAAGGGAAGTCATTTAATAATAATTCTTGATTATTTTATACATAAAGAACTAGACATTTAGATGAGAAAAAAAGTTAAAGAAAAAATTAATTTTAAATAGGGGTCATTTAAAAATGATACATTTCACTTTTTACTGACAGTAGAGAAATTAAAGTTAAATAATGCTATTAAAAACTTAAGGTTACCACTAATCTTACTGGTATCAAAGTATTAGTAGCAGTAATAGTAACTAGTATCAAAAGTAAAACTACTAAGATACTAGAGAATAGAACAAAAAAGAAAATATAGCTAAAAATAGAAAACCAGTTTAGCAGCTGGGCGCGGTGGCTCAAGCCTGTAATCCCAGCACTTTGGGAGGCTGAGGCGGGCAGGATCACTGAGGTCAAGAGATCGAGACCATCCTGGTCAACATGGTGAAACCCCGTCTCTACTAAAAATACAAAAAATTAGCTGGGCATGGTGGCGCGTGCCTGTAATCCCAGCTACTCAGGAGGCTGAGGCAGGAGAATTGCCTGAGCCCAGGAGGCGGAGGTTGCAGTGAGCCGAGATCGCACCATTGCACTCCAGCCTGGGTAACCAGAGCGAAACTCCGTCTCAAAAAAAAAAAAAAAGAAAACCAGTTTAGCAAAATATTAAACACAACAAAATACATAAAATACGAAAACAGAAAATGATAAAACCAAATATATCTACTCTAATGATATATGCAAATCAGGTAAAAAACAAAATTCAACTGTGTAAGACCTATGAAAACTAAAGTGATACTAAAAAATAAAAGTGAAAAGTAATGATTAAAAACTTACTATTTAATTTTTAAAAAATATAACAGTCTAGTTTAAATATAGAAGAGTGCAAAAAAAAACGTTAAATGGGACAAAGTAGGACATTTTATATTGATGAAATTTACTATCCACTACATTATTATGTTCTGTTCCTTTAGTTTTAACTGGTGAGTACATAGAGCTTTATTGTTATTATTCTTTATATGATATTTAAACAAATACAAACCGGGCCAGGCATGATGGCTCGTGCCTGTAACCCCAACACTTGGGGACACCAAGACCGGCCGTTCACTTGAGGTCAGGAGTTTAAGACCACCCTGACCAACATACTGAAACCCCCATGTCTACTAAAAACACAAAAGTTAGCTGGGCATGGTGGTGGGTGCCAGTAATCCCAGCTACTCAGGAGGCTGAGGCAGGAGAATTGCTTGAACCCAGGATGCGGAGGTTGCAGTGATCCAAGACTGAACCACTACACTCTAGCCTGGGTGACAGAGTGAGACTCCCCCTCAAAAAAGCCAAATAAATAAATAAAATAGAAAACCTTTATTCATTATATTC